TTTCACGTCTCTGTGAATCACGGGTTTCGCGTCACCGGTGTGGAGATAATGCAATCCTCTTGCTGATCCAATGCATATCTCAAGACGTTGCTTCCAACTCAAGCTAAGAAGACCTGAACCGTAAAGGTGACTCTTCAATGTTCCATTCTCCATATATTCGTAAACCAGAATCATCTCGTTATTCTCGTCGCAGTATCCGATCAAAGAAACCAAATGGCGATGACGGAATTGTGACAACATTTCGATTTCTGTCCTGAACTCTGCAAGTCCTTGCTGAGACTTAGGATTCGCTCTTTTAACAGCTACTTTTGTACCATCGTGAAGCTCTCCTTTGTACACTTTACCAAAACCACCAACTCCAATTGCTCGATTCTCATCAAAGCTATTTGTGGCCTCTTTAACTGCTACCAAAGGAATTCGATAACTGGAATTGGAAGCTATACTTGCAAGTGTAGTTCCATTTGAGGATGAAGTTGTTCCATTGGATGACAAAGGAATCCAAGTCTTTGAATTACCATCTTGGTCTCGTCCTCGTTTCTTGTACAGCACAAAGAAACCTCCTAAAACCACTAAAGCAAGCAATGAGCCGATCGTTACACCAATGATCATACCAACATTCTTCTTAGTGGTTGAGCTTGAACCACTGGGCAAAAATGTTCCAATACTGAGCTGACTTTTGGAGTTATTCATCTTCATGATCTCTAACCCGTTCAGAATCGCAGTAGGGTAATCCGTATGAACACTCGATCGACCGATGCTCACACGGATTCTTTTAGTCTGTTTAGCTGATCCCGTGACAAAATCCATCGCGTATGCACCACTCAAAGTGTTGGATAAATAAGAGCTCAGATCAAGATTCTCAACAACATCCATAGAGTCGACATAAAGATTGAAGTAAAGCTGGTTTAGAGCTTTACTCACGATATCGCAGAAATGAAACCGTAGAAAGTACTGAAAACCCGGGTCAACATCGAAATCCCAAGTCACATTGAAGTTGCTAGACGGGTTATCCGCAGAATTCATCTCGGTGCAAGTACCATAGACAGTTCTAGGAGCAGTCTCCTCTGTAGCAAAACCAGGAACATAATCAACAGATGCAATCTTAGACACACTCTTAACTAGATTCTTCTCAACTAGAAACTCAGAATCAGGCTCCCAAATTCTCGAAAGAGTATCGTTACTAGGCGTAACACGCGGACCGCCCATGTTCACTCTATAGACCGTTTCAAGAGCTTGCCATGACAAGCCCTGAAACTTCCCAGGACTGCCTGCAAAGGAAGGATCACCACTGAACAACGTATCAGGAACCGAAACAACCTCGAGCGCGTTCAGAAACGCAAACGAATCACCCGAGGGAGTAAACGTGAGCTCCAGATGATCCGTAGCTACATTCAGAGAGTATTCCTTCATAACTCTGGAACTCACAGTGAAATCACTCAAAAGAACATGTGTTTCTGAAGAAACAGAGAATTTAGCTGAGACCATTTGGAAGTTTTGGTACTGAAAAGGATTGAAATGGAGACGAATCCAGTGGCGACCTTTAGTAACGGAGAATCTATACTTAGAGATTCCGGTGAAGATTCTCGCCGTCTGGTAAATATCTGAATTTGAATTGCGATTACTGGCGGCGAGGATTTCATTAGGAGAGGTTAGAAAGTTTGAAGCAAGGTTATCAGAGATAAACACTCGACTAGTGACAGTGACGTTGGTTGATGATCCACAGTTGATGAGGTAATTATCCACTGGTACGTATCCATAGCAGAGGAAGATTAAGCAAAGAATCGATAAAATCCAAATCAAAAATCCAAACTTTTCACCACCCATCTTCTCTAAACCTGGAAATTTTAAACAATTCGATGGGAATAGACAAAGAATCTATCAGCTAGATTCAAGGGATATACGACATGAGCAAATCAACGGTTTTGTTTTAGCAAAGATGACAACTTTATAACGACAGTGATAAAAATAAAATCATAACGGATAAAATTAAGTAACAAAAAAAACAAATTTTTTGTACCTTAAAGAGTAAATTGTTCCATGAAAGGTACAAAAGTTGAGGATCAGCTGATAGATTGATCTCCAGATTTTGGCTTTTGTGTACTAAAATTTGGGTTTGGAAATTGGAACAGAGTAGTAACAAGAGATGGATTTTTTTGTGAACTCTGCAAACATGAAATATATAAAAAGTTATTAATTTAATATTTGTGTATTAGATGCAACGACAAATAAATTGATGTGAGGAAATATGGGAGACGAAGGGATTGAATTGAATTGTCAGTCTGATTTTTTCTGATGGCTATGAAAGTTAGGAAGAAGACGAAAATTTTCCATATTTTACCATAAAAAACTGCACAAACGTTAGTGGGTATGTTACATTACCACTTTTAAATGTGTCAAGAAATAGCAATAATTTAACTTTTTCTCTACAACAATACTATTTATTTTTCTTGTTAATTATAATTAGAATTATAATATCATTTTTGTATGCAATCGTCGGTTCGTCACTCGCAGTCACATATGCTAAATCTCAAACATATATTTTCTTTATTCAAAAAATTAAGGATGGTAGTGGAGGTTGGAACGAAAGTCAACATATGTGGGTTGTGTAATTTTTTTTTTTTTTTAAGGATATACAAAACTTCCGACCATATTTATGAACGAAGCACTGGACACATGATTTTTTTCGGCATCTGTTCATGCAAATATAAATAGATTATCATGAGTTTACTATTCCATGTTTGTTCTGTTGGAAGTTCATTTCAAGTTTTAGTTACAAGATAATTGAGCTATTAAGTTTTATACTTAAGTATCATACACTACTTAGCCTTGAGATTTTTTATAAATCAAAACGAAACAGAAGCTTAAAGATTTTAAATGAAATGAGGTGGTCACATACATATATGTGTCAAAGATCTAGAAGTTCTAGATTGGATATAAATGAAGAATGACGACATTAACCGCCCCAACTTTTCATCTAAATGGAACATGACATATAATAGAGTTTATCTGAAAGGATCGATAAGATGTCGCTATATTTACTAAAATTATCTATAATATGATGAGCCCACTATGTTTTTCTTGACAATTGGGAACTTATTATATAATTCTTGAATATCACAACGTATAAATGATCATTTACATATATCTAGTGCTTGTGTTAGTGTCGTGTGTAATATCCAAGTTCAAGCATGTATCATATGTTGTACAAAATAGTTTCAGCCTAAAATGATATTTGTGGACCTGTGTTGTCTACCGACACATTTGTTTGGACAGTGGAAACAACAATTCTATATATATTAAAGCATAATTAAGAAGAATAAAATAAAAATTGGTTGAGATGTCGCAAGGAGAATGACTTTTAGATTTGTTTTATATTGATTCACTTAAAACAAAATACAACATAAAATTCAAATTTTACACATATTAACATAAATTAAGTTGTATGTTGTGCAAAGATTACTTAGTGATATTTTAAAGCCCATGCAAAAATAACTTATCTTCTAAAGAAACGGCCTTTTTCTTATTTTTTGTAAACTTTGACAAGCTTAGATCATATGATTGAATTGCATTAATGGACGTTATTTTAATTATCTTGAAAGATCTAACGTCATTTTCATGTTAACTAAATACAAAACATCTTAGCATTCATAGCTGAATAAGAGGCATAGTTACTATTCAACACTTTTAGCTTTAACTACAACCTTCAAACACACACATTTTGTCGTTTTGTTTTATTTAGGCTTCGTAATCTTGTAAACAGAATTCACCTACTTCAGTATTTCTTCTTTTACACTACGATTTCATGATTCCACAAAGTAAAACATCAACATCATTCTTGATTTGGAAGTAAAATTGTGAATCGTGTATCTAATGGGCCTGGTCAAATAGGCCCAAACATGGATCCGCAAATAAGGAATTTTTCTCCTTACAAAAGACACTCTTTCTGAGTAAGAAGGTTTCGTGGGGCCTGTCGTGACCTCTGAAAGTTCCCTCCATCACCAATCATTCGGCACAAAACTAATATTTATATTTTGTTTCCTTTATTTATTTTATTTAATAAAATATTTATCGATCCCAATTTTCTAAATCTTGCTTCTTCTCTCGTTCCTATATCCGTTTTCCGATTTAGGGCACCAAATTGAATCAAAATCTCCGCTTCTTCCCAATTTACGAAACTTCACGAAAAAACTTCTTCGGATTCTTTTTAACCCTTTCTCTCAATTCTTCTTCCAGGGTTTTCTAATTGGGCACTGTTTCTCTTCTTCTTCTTCTTCCTCCGTACGCATCCTTCTCCTTTTTACTGTTGAGTGTGAACAGATTTAAACAACGTCATTTCTAGGGTTTTCGGAGTTCAATTTTGTTATCCTACTATTGAATTTGCATCGCGATAGCTGAATTTAGGATCCTGTGTTGTTGCTCAGTCGTATTAGAACAACTGTTGAATTACGCTTGCGTTGATTGTTCTTTTTTTATTGGATCCTCGTGAGTTGTTTTTTTTCTTGTTCTGAATCGTTTCCTGGACTTCTGATTTCCTGCTAGAAGTTTATTTCATGGTTGCTGATTCATTATCTTCTTGTTTCTAGATGAAAGTTTACTGTGTATAAACCTTCAAAGGATGAGAATTTCAATCTTACTTTGAACAATATGTAGTTTATACAGTAGCTTCGTCTGTTGTTGCACCATGGTTGATAAGATTTATGTCTCCTTTGTTTGGTTTATTGAATTCTTCCTTTTTTCCAGGCTATTCATTTATGAGTAATCGTTTATTCCATCTCAGATTGTAGGCGGTTTCGCGTCTTGTCACCGAATGATACATTGTCTCACGTGAGATTGTCAGTCAGTTCGTGCAATGTCAAACCTTCATGTACCTTCCTATTCACCTTGAGAATATTTTTAGTGTGCTTAGGATAACGTTTGCTTAATTATGCGTACCATTTCTCATCCATCAACTCTTGTGCTCTTTCCTTTGTAGTCATCTCTCAATGGTTCAGCTTCGAATTTACCAGATGGTTCGGGCAGATCGTTTACTGCTTCTTATTCTGGACAATCTGGTGCACCGTCTCCCTCTTTTCATCATACTGGTGGGTGTTATTCTTATCTTGACCTTCTTCTATATTTTGCGTCGTTCTGAACTTATATAACTTCTACATATTCTTCATGCAGGAAATCTTCAGGGACTTCATAATATTCATGGGAACTATAATGTCGGGAACATGCAAGGTACACTTACATCAAGAAACTCAAGTATGAATAGTATACCATCTGCCGGAGTTCAACAACCTAATGGGAGTTTTTCCAGTGGAAGATTTGCTTCAAATAATCTACCTGTTAATCTCTCTCAGGTGCATGTTGTTTAAAATTTTGTGAAAAAAACGGCTCTTGTTCTTAATCTGTGTCTTATATTATACGATGATTGCTTTGTAGTTGTCCCATGGTAGCTCACATGGGCATTCGGGAATCCCAAATAGAGGTCTTAATGTTGTTGGCAACCCTGGATTCAGTAGTAACGCTAATGGAGTTGGTGGTTCTATTCCTGGAATTCTCTCTACATCTGCAGGACTCAGTAATCGGAATAGTGTTCCAGGGATGGGAATATCCCAATTGTTGGGAAATTCAGGTCCTCGAATAACAAATTCAATGGGAAACATGGTTGGTGGAGGTAACCTGGGGAGGAATATTAGCTCTGGTGGATTGTCTATTCCTGGTCTGTCTTCACGACTAAATTTGGCAGCAAATAGCGGATCAGGATTAAATGTTCAGGGACAGAACCGAATGATGGGTGGAGTACTTCCTCAAGGTATATATGATTTATCGAGTCCTTTCCATTTGCTGTCTTCAAGGTTTTTTTTGCCTTTTATTTGATACAACTGAGCTGAGCCTTGTTTAACTTCTTGTTATAGCATTGTAAATAAAATAGAATATATTGCTTCATGGAGTACACCTTTTTACTGGTCTAGTAGCTAGGAAGTCCTGTGGAAAATAAGTTAGAATAATTAGTCATTTAGGGGGTAGGATTGATATCAGCAGTTGAACTTGTTTTGCTTTTGTAGTCTATACTTCTCTAGACTCACGTGAGTACGTTAGAATGTAGAGAAAGCAGTACTCTGGGATTGTTTGGACTTTGTAAGACGAGCTTGTTTACTTTACACAAAATCTTATTTAATTAAACATGCAATTAGTTAGCAGCTGCTGTATGTGGAAATAGCAGTAAAAATTTAATTGTAAAATTGTATGGTACAGGATCTCAGGTCATGTCTATGCTGGGGAACTCCTATCATACTGGTGGTGGCCCACTTTCGCAGAATCATGTTCAGTCAGTTAACAATATGATGCTCAGTGATCATCCTAACGACAGCTCTCTATTTGACATCAACAACGATTTTCCCCAGCTGACAAGTCGTCCTGGGTCTGCTGGTGGCACTCAAGGACATCTAGGTAGTCGGTTTATCTGAAGATCTTTTGAAATTCATATACTTAATATAACATAAGTTTTTGAAAAGATTTTCCAAATCATGTCTTGTTTCCTCATACTCTTGCGGTGGTGTTTTTAGGCTCTTTGAGGAAACAAGGTTTAGGAGTTCCACTTGTCCAACAAAACCAGGAGTTCAGCATCCAAAATGAAGACTTTCCTGCCCTTCCTGGATATAAAGGTGCTGGTCTTTTATTGTCGATAACTTTGTATTGTATTGTGCATAAAGTTGGGTCTTGCAGACTTTATGTGCACGTAGTGAGGAATATCGTCTCTAGTTTCCCCTATCTTGAAAAGTTTTCCTCTATGCTATTCTCCAAAATCTCATGAAAGTCCGTTTCCAAGTTCATAAACTTCTTAGCTTCCTTCATATTATAGCTTATTGCATGAGAAAGATGATAAGATGTGCTTCTTAATGATGTAAGCTAAACCTGCTGGATCATTCACAAGCGTAGTAGATTTGTTGCAGGTGGTAATTCTGAGTATCCTATGGATTTGCATCAAAAAGAACAACTGCATGACAATGCTATGTCAATGATGCACTCTCAAAACTTTTCTGTAAGCTTTAGACTGTTTCGAAGTTAACAAAGTGTTGTCCTGCCTTTTTCTGTTGATATGGTTGTTGATGTGAATTAATGTTTGGATATTGCAAATTTGCAGATGGGTAGATCTGGTGGTTTCAACTTGGGAGCAACATATTCATCACATCGTCCACAACAACAGCCACAACATACTTCATCTGTGAGTGGCAGTCTCTCCTATCCCTATATGTATACAAGCCGGAACTTTCTTCAATTTGCATATCTCATATTATTATGATACTGCATCATGTGGTTGGGCAACACTTGCTCCAACTACCGTATCTTATCATTTAATTCTTATTTAATACCAGACTGGTGGGCTACAGGGTCTTGGCCTTAGACCTCTAAGCTCGCCTAATGCAGTTTCCAGTATTGGTTATGATCAGCTTATTCAGCAGTATCAGCAACATCAAAATCAATCCCAGTTCCCTGTGCAACAGATGTCATCAATCAACCAATTTAGAGATTCTGAGATGAAATCGACACAGTCAGAGGCAGATCCTTTTTGCTTGCTTGGCTTGTTAGACGTACTAAACAGGAGCAACCCTGAATTGACCTCACTTGCTCTTGGCATCGACTTGACGACGCTAGGATTGGATTTGAATTCAACTGGAAATCTCTACAAGACATTTGCGTCTCCTTGGACAAATGAACCGGCAAAGAGCGAGGTCGAGTTCACAGTACCAAATTGTTACTACGCCACAGAACCTCCGCCTCTAACTGTAAGTTCCCTCTGTTGTTGCGAGTAGTACCAACAAAGTATTTTCTCGATTTTGTTAACAAATGTGTCATTATTTCCGTTTGTTGCAGCGAGCTAGTTTCAAAAGGTTCTCCTACGAGTTATTGTTCTACACATTTTACAGGTCTGTTATTAGATCAGCATTCAGCGTCACATTTGCCCAACTCCTAAATTAACCTTGTGCTTTTAAACTTATTACTTTGCTCTAAATATTGTTCCAGTATGCCAAAAGATGAAGCACAGCTGTACGCAGCAGATGAACTGTATGTTTTTTCTCTACTGTAATCTTTGATCTATTCGTTTACTCCGCTCTCTTTGGCTGAGACTTTTGAGTTCGATTGACATGTTGCAGTTACGAAAGAGGTTGGTTTTACCACAAGGAACTCAGAGTATGGTTCTTCAGAGTCGGGGAACCTTTAGTCAGGGCAGCTACATATGAAAGAGGAACATACGAATACCTTGATCCAAATTCGTTCAAAACAGTGAGAAAGGTAAGCCGACGATTATTGCAGGAATATCTATTTCCTTGTTCTCGAATTTGCAGTGTTATGAGTGAATTTTGCTGGTGATGGTTATCGCAGGAACATTTTGTTATCAAGTACGAGCTTATGGAAAAGAGACCAAGCTTGCTGCAGCTTTGACGACAAGTAGGTTTGTTCAATTAGTAGCATCTTTACAATGTAAAGCTTTTCTCTTCATTTCTCTTTCTTTCTTTCTTTCATGCAAGTTCTATTGATTAGAAACCAAAACCATGACATATCACATTTTCAATTTTTAACCCCAAGTTTCCCAAAAAGGTAATCACAATTACTTTCCATGGTCATTTCTTCTGGTTCAAGCATGACATGAACAGGCAATAAATAAGTTGAGATTTTGATCACAGTAACTGATACTTGAATCGAATCATTTAGATTTTTTTTTTTTTAGTTTACTTGTTTAGTAAATATGTTGTCTATGTTTGTAACAAAAACGTGGCTCAGTTCTTGTATATATGGAGACAAAAAAATCCATTAAAAGATTGTTGACATTCTCGGAAATTTAGTGCCAACTGTTATTGCGAGAACTTACTATAGTTTTCCTTTGGCGAAAAGCTAATAATCTTAAATCTTGATTTTGTCCTCTTTTCTCTGAGTTAGATTTTCTTAAATTCCACTTCCGACCTATTAAGAAATGGGCTTTTGCAAAGAAGATCCGCTTCACTGAGCCCGTATCTCGAAGAGGATAATACAACAACAAAGCAAAACGGCTCGTAGTTTTAATTGTAACCAAGGATTGCATTTCGGTCTTGTTTCAACAAACGAAACTTCCTGAAATGCCAAGAAAAATCTGGTCATTTCACCACAGTGATCATTGTGTATGTGTTCTAAAGACTCCAAGCGAAGGTTTTAGAAAAAGGAGCATTTTCTATTCTATTCAAGAAACTCGAAGAACATTCTCTCTTCATCCTCTAACTTCCCTATAAATATGTCCTTTGCTAATCAGATCAAATCAGCAGGAAAATCAAGAACCAAAAGTCTCCCGAAAAGCAACGAACAATGTCTCTCATTCCAAGCATTTTTGGAGGACGCAGATCAAACGTCTTTGATCCGTTCTCGCAAGACTTATGGGATCCATTCGAAGGATTCTTCACGCCATCTTCTGCGTTGGCAAACGCTTCAACCGCTCGTGATGTGGCAGCGTTTACAAACGCAAGAGTGGATTGGAAGGAAACGCCGGAGGCACATGTGTTCAAAGCGGACTTGCCAGGCCTGAAGAAGGAAGAAGTCAAGGTTGAGGTTGAAGACAAGAACGTTCTGCAGATTAGCGGAGAGAGGAGCAAGGAGAACGAAGAGAAGAACGATAAGTGGCACCGTGTGGAGAGAGCTAGTGGGAAGTTTATGAGAAGGTTTAGGTTACCGGAGAATGCAAAGATGGAAGAAGTGAAGGCAACAATGGAGAATGGTGTGCTTACGGTTGTGGTTCCGAAAGCGCCTGAGAAGAAGCCTCAAGTCAAGTCCATCGATATCTCCGGGGCTAATTGAATATGAAGATGAAGATGAAATATTTGGTGTGTCAAATAAAAAGCTTGTGTGCTTAAGTTTGTGTTTTTTTCTTGGCTTGTTGTGTTATGAATTTGTGGCTTTTTCTAATATTAAATGAATGTAAGATCTCATTATAATGAATAAACAAATGTTTCTATAATCCATTGTGAATGTTTTGTTGGATCTCTTCTGCAGCATATAACTACTGTATGTGCTATGGTATGGACTATGGAATATGATTAAAGATAAGATGGGCTCATAGAGTAAAAAG